TTGGAGGCAACAACCTTGGTATGGGCAGGAAAGGCATAATATCTGGCCTGACCTTCCTCTCTAGCTGGCTGAGTAGGTGGGGTAGTAACTGGTGCTATGATCATAGCCTGAGAACTCTACGGAGCGCGATGTGGCTGAGAATTCTGTGAAGGTGCACTCCTCCCAAGTCTAGGGCAATCCCTCACCACATGGCGTGTGTCACCACACTCAAAACAAGCTCTGGGAGGACGTTGAAGTGGGAACTGTGCGGTACGGGTACTCCAAGACCCCTGAACACCTAAAACACTGTGTGAAATCTGAGATGCAAACTGAGCTGGCTGACCCACAAAACCTCTACCATGTCGTACTCTTCCTCCAAAATAAGGACCAGTGGTTCTCTCCAGTCTACGAGGTCTCCTCATTTCCCTATACTCTCTCACTTGACCTCGTCCGTCCTCTCTCTCTTGGACCCATCTGTCTTCTGCTCGGCGAGAGGTCCTCACCACCCACTAAACTGGGACCACAGGCTGTGTCGCTATGACACCTGGAACCTGACCAATGAGAACTCGCTGCTCTAGAGTGGGGGTGGCGGAAGTCTGGGTCCCTTTCCCGATCTATGAAGTAGTTGGTACAACCTGAATCAACCCCGTCTGTACTAATGTACCAAACATGCTCAGGAACTGTGCTAATGTCCCCCGAAGTGCTGGAGTAATAGTAGCAGTAGGCGTATCCGGTGCCTGGGCTTTGGCTGGAACTGCTGGTGGCTCCTCGATGGTAGCTCGCGCGAGTGCTCTGGCTTCACCGCGTGTGCGTCCTCGGCCTCTACCCCGGCCCCGACCTCTGATGGCTCTCGCAGGGGGCGCGAGTGTCTGATCATCTCTAGTGGCACGTGTCCTCACCATCTGTGAGAGAATGGAAGACAGAGGTTTAGGATTGTGATGTCAAAAATCTCGCACGACAGGGAAATCAAATGAAGTGGAATTTTTCTAACGGTTACATAGCCTCTCGTAGATAAGTACGTACGTCTCCGTACCGATCCGCGAGACTCTAATAAGCCGGCTTGTGATTCATGACGCCTATGAACCTAGGGCTCTGATTCCAACTTGTCACGACCCCGGTTCGCCCTTCGTGAACCATCGTGACGGCACCTAGTCTCTACGACTAGGTAAGCCTAACAATGCGGAAAAGAAACCAATTTGTGGAAGAAATAATTAAAAACTGAAATAGTGAAATAAGATAGTATTTTAAAGTGCTGCTTGTCATACACAATAACAACTCTTGAAAACTAATTACATTTCCCAAAACCTGGAATCTCATGATCACAAGCCTTTAAATTTTCTACAAGCATCTAACTCCAAAATATCTAACAAGGAAAACGAAAGTAAATAAGGGTAAATACAAAAAAAGGAGGAGTAGAAAGGGACTCTTCGGTCTGCGGACGCGGCAGATATACTTCAGAGTCTCTACAAGCGCCTCGCCCGAGTGATAAGTCTGAATGGAAGTACCTGGATCTGCACATGAAAAACATGCGCAGAAAGGGGCATGAGTACACCACAACGGTACTTAGTAAGTGCCAAGCCTAACCTCGGTCGGGTAATGACGAGGAAGGTCAGAGCCCTACTGAGATTAAATGAAATATCAGGTATAATAGAATGAGATAATCAGTACAGTTGAAAACTAACAGTAAGAATTAATACAGGATAATAAGGATAACAACAACTGAAACAGAAACAAAAACAATCACAAGGAAATACCACTCTTCACATAGATAATAACCGGGGATCTCTCAGTATCCTGATGATCTCTTAGTACCCTCAATATATGCTGGGGATCTCTTGGTATCCTCAACGTATGCGTGGGATCTCGTGGTATCCCGAGGATATCTTGGTATCCTCAATGTATGCTAGGGATCTCTTGGTATCCCGAGGATCTTTTGGTATACTCAATATATGCTAGGGATCTCTTGGTATCCTCAATATACGTGTTGGGGATCTCTCGGTATCCCACACTTCAGCTCAATCATAAATGCGTACAAGGGATCTCCCGGAATGCCGTCTCGTAGTCCCAAACTAAAACACACAACAATGGCACAAAGAATACTAAAATAAAATCAACTTCATACCAAAGTAACACAGACAATTCTAACCTAGCATGCTTCACGTAATACAAATAAGGTAGTTAAAGCAAATAAAACAATTAAGTCAATTAGACATACTTCTCTAAGCTATCAGCAGGTTTAAAAGTGCAAGTAGAATAAATAGGAAGAGAAAATGCAGTTAAAGTTGCTTAATGAAAATAGGATTTTCAACAATTAGCACGAGTACGCACTCATCATCTCACGCACAAGACATTTCAATTATCACAATACAAATCCTAAGGGGAAAGTCCCCCACACAAGGTTAGGCAAGCCACTTACCTTGAACCAGCTCAAATCAATCCGAAACCATGCTCTTGCCATGAGTACTCGACTCCAAATGGCCCAAATCTATTCAATTCAATTTCATAATGTAAATAATACTTCAAGTAACTGATTCTACAAAGAAATTCTAAGCTAATACACAAAATTAAGTAAAATGACTAAAACACCCCTCGGGCCCACGTCTCGGAATGAGGTAAAATTTACATTTTCGGAATCCTCACACTCTCACGAGTTCAGTCATACCAAAAGTACCAAAATCGGATCTCAAATGGTCCCTCAAATCATCACTCAAAGGTCTCTAATTAGTCAAGTCATAACCCCCAAGTTACCACCGATTTTCCTTAAATATTCATGTTTATAGTGATAAAAATCACCTCAATAACGAGTTTAGGTTCTAAGAATCTTACCTCCTTGAAGTTCCCTTGAATTCCCTCTAAAAAACCTCCCCAAAAGCTCACTTCCCGGATGAAAATGGTGAAAGAATAGCTCAAATTCGCGAAGGCAACTATTTATATGTTCTGCCTAACAATACCGCATCTGCGGTCCACCCATCGCATCTGCGATACCGCTTCTGCGGTTGGGGAACCGCTTCCGCAGTTCTCACTTAAAACCTCTCCGCCGCACTTGCGACCCAGAATCTGCATCTGCGGTCTCGCAGGTGCGGTACATATGCCGCTTCTGCGGTTCCTGGCCCCTTCCTCATCTTCCGCTTCTGCAGCTGCATTCCGCATCTGCGGGAGTCGCACCTGCGGCCTCTCAACCGCAGATGCGGTTATGACAGCAGTCATAGCTTCAGCTGCAACTCCAAACTCCAAATCCTTCCGTCAACCATCCGAAATCATCTCGATGCCCCCGGGACCTCAACCAAAAATACGAACAAGCCATATACCACTAACCAATCCTTAAAACACCTAAAACAACACCGAAACCTCGAATTAACCATGGATTCAAGCCTAAGAACTCCAAGATTCTCAAAATACGCTTTCGATCAAAAAGTCTATCAACCCTCGTCCGAATGACCTGAAATTTTGCACACACGTCACATTTAACACTACGGAGCTACTCCAACTTCCGGAATTTCATTCCGACCCTCGGATCAAAATTTCACTATCGAACCAGAAACTTAAAAAATTCAACTTTCGGCATTTCAAGCCTAAATTAGCTACGGGCCTCCAAACCACAATCCGATCATGCCCCTAAGCCCGAAATCACTCAACGGAGCTAACGGAACCATCAGAATTTCATTCCGAGGCCGTCTTCACACTGTTCCGACTACGGTCAATTTTCCAAAACTTAAGCTCTCAGTAAGGGACTAAGTGTCCCAAAATTTTCCGAAACTCAAAACCGAACATCCCGGCAAATCAAAATAGCAGAAAAAATACGAAGATAGCAGTTAATAGGAGATCGAGGCGTAAATTCTTAAGACGATCGGTCGGGTCGTCACAAATTTGTAGTAGCTTTTAAAAAAAAAAATATGTAGGCATGCCTTTGTCTCTATTTCATGCTTTGAAGAAAGAAACCCATGCTTAACCAAACCATAAGTTCCTCAATTAATTTGAAAATATTGTTTTAACTGTAAATGTAATTTTTGAACAAGGTGGAATCAAATTGGATTAGTCAATTATTCTCGTAGTTCAAGTGAGATTCAGACTATTAGCACCCAAGCGTGTAGCTTATTGATTAATAAAGTGAGATGAAATTCTTGGAGATTAGAGTTCAACTTTCAGCTACGACAAAATTTGTTAGGTGATCGCTTCCTATGTACGTAAGTCTTGATAAGCAGAGTCACGTGATAACTATGTGGTTAAAGGTAGTAGGTTCGGTGGAATAATCAAAGGTGCGTGTAAGTTGGCTCGAATACTATCGTTAGAAAAATAAATAAATAAATAAATAAATAAGATTCTATCGTTACTCTATTGTTAGGATATACTATTAACCATGCGGTTTAGACATAATATTATATTTTATTCTTTATGGAACAATTATTTATTTAATTTATTCAATTCAATAAAGTACTATTTTAATTAGATTATTTGTTACATGTATGTCCTTTTAGTTATGTAGTAGACGATTTAGTGTATGGAGTCTTAGCTCATGCACAGAAGATTAAATTGTTGGTTCTCATAATTAATAAACTATGTTCACAATCAAAGATATTGTTGGACAAAATATCTTGATGATTATTACAGATTATAGCACAAAATTATAGTATAATTTGTCTTGATTATGGGAGTAGTTTTACTCCAACTTCCTGTGCTAGTATACTCAGTGCATATTGAATGGACCAAGTAGAGAAAATATGTTTTTGTCTGAATATATAAAATATTTTCTCTAATTCATTAAATGAGCTTATACTCCTAATCTTGATATAATTATTATGATCAATGTAATTTGTTTATTGTTTTGATTTATCAAAAGGTACGACTCTATTTAGAGTTAGTGTGTGCCTAATAGATTGGACAATAACGAATTATATTTGTGAATAATAATTAGTTGATAAAATCCATGACTCGATTTTGAGTTTGATGATACCCCTTTATGTAAGCTTATAAGTTTTCATGTGAAAACCCAGCCGGTGGATTTTGTATCCGTCACATGAAATAGTTTAAGCGGAATTGTAAAGGATTTAATTAGTTGATTAAATTAAATTTTCAATGATTTAATTTGATTAACTGGTATTTGAGATCTTAACATGGGGAATTAAAATAAGTGTTATTGAATTTTCGAAATTTATATTGAGGAGTTCAATTGTAGTTTTTTAGTGGAATAAATTGCAATTAATTATAGTAAGAATTAATTCATGCTAATTTTGAACTAATGCTATAATTGGTAGTCTCTTATTATTTCTGTGGTCCCTGCTATACCTAGTAAAAACCTGGACAAGACTTGGGTAAAAAGTGACTTGAGAGAAAAGTCATCTAATAGAGTTGGAGTAGGATTCTACGTGTAGAAGAAGAATCCTACACGTTTTTGGAGCACAATTTCGACAAAAAATAACTCTATTAAAGCAAGACTAATTTCACCCAATAACTTACTTTTTAGAGTTGTATTGTTCTTGCCCACCCAAAAGCAAAAATCGTCCAAGGTTTGACTAGGCAAATAGCAGAAGACTGCAGCCCTGGATTCATGTTGTTTGGAAGATTTGTGCAACTATTTCAAGAGGTTAGTGCTTCTAATCTCGTTATTATTGCGTTGTCTAGTTTACATGTATTTGATGCCTGGTTTGTATGCTTGCTTCCGCCGCGCATGTTCTAATAATTGGTATCAGACGCCTACTAGATAACGTAATACAACATGAATAAAGTAATAATAAAATGTGTTGTTTATTGATACATGTTTGGTATAATTATTCTATGTCAAAAACCTGATTGTATTTATTAGTATCTTAATTCTGTAATTATGAAATTATGAATTAATATACATATGTATAAACAATGGCGTTATATGACAGTCTGTTTAATTACGTTTTCTGATCAAGAGCAATCTGTTTCTTTTAATAAAAACATGACTATTTTTTATTGCTATTAATTCTGTAATTATGGGTTAATATACATATGCACAAACAGTGAATTAATTCCATTAATCTGTTTTAGTTGCGTTTTGTCCATAATCACATTGTTATATTAATAAAAACTTGACTGTTTTGCATGATATTAGTTCTGTAATTTTGGATTAATATACAGAATTATGAACAGTGGCATTTTTTGACTAGTGAAAAACATACTGTTTTTACAATTTTGTCTAAACACGTTTTTATTAAGTAAAAAAAAAATATTATTTTGAGTTCTGAAATGATGTGTTAACATACATTAGTATATTATGTGATTTAAACAAGTCAAAATAATAAAACCCTTAAAACTCCAAAAAAAAACAAAAACAGAATTCTAGAAATAGGTCTTGATTTTAGAATTCTGAAATTTTGTCGAACTCCGATTGACCTCAAATTTGGTAGGTTCATTGGAAACGGCCCAGTGAGCAATAAACATGAGCAAAAGCTCATGATGTACATCGTTTGTTGGGCATTCGGGGTCGTTTAGATGGGTTTTTGGCCATTTTTCTATTTTCTGGAATTTTTTTTAATAAAAGAATTTTTTTTTTAAAAGAAATCTATGATGGTAGGGTTCAATTCCTATTGTTTCCAATCATGTTTTACAGTAATATAATGAATTTATATGTTGATATATGTCTACTTCCACATCGGATAAATTCATTATAGATGATTACTGTAGTTTTGCCTCTAGTTATTTGATTACTTGTATTAACTCTCCAACTGAGTTACATGTTGATTCAATGAAACTAGAGTTTATAAAAGTGATATTTACCTATCTTAAATTAACAGTTTACTCTCCATCTGAGTTGGTCCTGCTTAAATTTATGGGGTTAATATCTTACATCACTCATATATTTTGCATGAATAATTAAGTTTCTCTAACGAATCTTACTGTTCAATGAGCATGGTTATATGTGTAATGTACTATTTTGAATTTAATTATTCTAAATACATAACTAATGATCTATTTAATGTGAATATCTCTCAGATTAATCATGTCTTTGTCATTCAACCCACTTACCTCAATATTGAACCAAAACAAGTTAGAAGGATCGAATTATGTTGACTGGAAAAGGAACCTTGATATTGTCCTAACCGCTGAAGGTTACAAATTTGTAATCACTGAGGAGTGCCCAGAAAAACCTGAAAATGCTACTGATGATCAGGTTAAGGCCTATGGCAAATGGGTTAAGGCCGATGAGATGGCGCGATGTTGCATTCTTGCCTCTATGGCGAATGTTTTGCAACATCAGCATCAGTCTATGGGGTCTGCTTATGATATGCTCGAAAGTCTCAAAGAGATGTTCGATGAGCAAAATCGTGCAGCTAAGCAGACAACCATGAAAGCCCTTTTGAACACCAAGATGGCTAAAGGATCATCGGTCAGAGACCATATTCTGAAGATGATGAGTCTTCTGAATGAACTGGAGGTCCTTGGAGCTGTGATTGATAAGGAGTTTCAAGTTGAGATGGTCATGCAGACTCTGCCTGACAGTTTTCAACAGTTTCGCTTGAACTATAATATGAACAAAATGGATTTGTCACTAGCGAAATTATCGAATGAGCTGCAAGCAGCAGAATCTATTATCAAACAACAAGCTTCAGTTGTGGCACTCAATGTTGAGAAAGCTTTGGTTTCTAAGTCGAAAGGCAATAAAAAAAGAAGAAGGCTCAAAAGGTTTTGGCACCTGGTGGTGCGGCTGGTGTGAAAAAGCCCAAAGGCAAGTGCTATCATTGCAAGCAACTTGGGCATCACAAGAAGCAATGCCCTGCCTATCTGGCAAAGTTGAATAAGCAAGGTAATTCAAATTTAAATGTCGTTGAAACTTGTTTAGCGGCTGTTTCTATCATGTTTTGGTGTGTAGATTCGGGAGCCACTAATCACATCTGCACTACTTTGCAGGGGTTTCAGGAAATGCGGCGGTTAAGTGAGAATGAAGTTTGCGTTTTTCAAGCCAATGGCGAGCCAGCACCAGCTTTAGCTTTAGGAGATATTAGAGTTTCGTTTAGTAGTGATAGAGTTTTAGTTTTAAAAGATGTTCTCTATGTACCTTCTATTAGAAGGAATTTGATTTCGGTTTCGAAAATAATGGATGCTGGTTATAATGTTTATTTTGCTAATAACTCTGATGTTATTAAGTTTAATAAATGTTTTATCTACACTGCTGCTAGAGTACATGACCTTTTTATTCTTGATATATCTCCTCATGTGCTACAACAACCAAAAGAATTAAATAACATTAATCTACCACGTAAAAGAAAATGTATTTCTGAATTGAGTCAAACTTATTTGTGGCACTTATGTTTAGGTCATATAAATCTAAATAGGATTTCGAGATTGGTCTTTGATGGACCTTTGAGTTCATTGAAAGTGGAGTCGCTACCATCATGTGAATCCTGTTTAGAAGGTAAAATGACCAAGAGACATTTTCCCTCAAAAGGAAATAGAGCCAGTGATAAGCTAGAATTAATTCACTCTTATTTGTGTGGCCCTATGAATATACAAGCAAGAGGTAATTTTGAGTATTTTGTGACTTTCACAGATGATTATTTAAAATATGGATATATTTATATGTTGCGACGTAAGTCTGAATGCTTTGAGAAATTCAAAGAATTTAAGAGGGAAACGGAGAAACGACATGATAAACATATCAAAGCATTGCGATCTGATAGTGGAATTACATCTCAATTATCTGCCCCAGGAACACCACAACAAAATGGTGTGGCAGAAAGAAGAAATAGGACCCTTATGGAAATGGTTAGATCAATGTTAAGTTATTCCGATTTGCCTTCTTCCTTTTGGGGATATACTTTAGAAACAACAAACTACATTCTAAATTTAGTTCCTTCAAAGTCAGTACCTTCAACTCCAGTAGAATTGTGGGCTGGGCGCAAACCAAGTTTACGGCATATTCGGGTTTGGGGTTGTCCAGCACATGTGCTGAAAGGGAAAGCGGATAAATTGGAATCAAGGACAGAAGTATGCATTTTTATTGGATATCCAAAAGGAACTAAAGGCGATTTATTTTGTTATCCCAAAGAAAAGAAGGTAATTGTTACGACAAATGCCAGATTTTTAGAAGAGGACTATCTAACGAACCATATTCCTAGAAGTAAACTAGTTTTACAGGAATTAAATAATGGAGTAACTAAAGACTCATCTCTAGAACGTATCCCGGAAGCCAGTATTGACATACCAATGTATTGCCGTAGCGGGGGAAATGTCAATTGGCAGCAGATTGCACAAGAGCAATTGCTTGACATCTCACTACCCCAAAGTAGTGGGAGTAATGTTGAGCAGCCTCAGGTTGTTGAGCAACCTCAGATTGTTGAACAACCTGAAATTGTTACGCAACCTGCACTCCAGGAAGAAGTTAATGATATCCCAACGCCGCAAGGTGTGAAGGATAACATTGAGGCTTCAGTTCCAGAAAATGATGTTGTGATCCAACAACAAAATCAGCCTCCACCTGTAGTGACTAGTCGTAGTGGGAGAATTATTAGAAAACCTCTCCGATTTGCGCTCTTGGGAGAATCTTATGATAAAATCCCTGAAGGGCCTAATACAGAACCTATTAATTACGACGAAGCACTATAGGATACAGATGCTGATAAATGGGTTGAAGCTATGAAATCTGAAATGGAGTCCATGTACTCCAATCAAGTCTGGGATCTTGTAAAACCACCTACTGGAGTCAAACCCATAGGTTGTAGATGGATCTATAAGAAAAATAGAGGAGTGGATGAAAAAGTGCAAACTTTTAAAGCTAGGCTTGTTGCAAAAAGGGTTTACTCAAAAAGAAGAGATCGATTATGAGGAAACTATTTCGCCAGTAGCCATGCTTAAATCCATTAGGATTCTCTTATCTATTGCTGCTCATTACGATTGTGAGATCTGGCAAATGGATGTCAAGACCGATTTTCTAAATGGAAGTCTTGATGAGTGCACCTATATGGCACAACCAGTTGGTATCATAAAAGTGGCAATGAGCACATGTTGTGTAAATTAAAGAAATCTATTTATGGATTGAAACAAGCTTCTAGGGCATGGAACACTTGTTTTGACGCATCGATTAAAACCTTCGATTTTGATCAATGTGAAAATGAGTCTTGTGTCTATAAGAAGTGGAATGGAGATAAAGTTACATTTTTGGTTTTGTACGTAGATGATATTTTGCTCATAGGAAATAATGTGAGCATGTTGAATTCAGTAAAGGAATAGTTGTCCTCACGTTTCGATATGAAAGACTTGAGACAGGCAGCACATATCCTTGGTATCAAGCTTATGCGAGATCGCAAGCAAAGGATATTAGGCTTGTCCCAAGCACTTTATATTGATACTATTCTCACCAGGTTTAGCATGCAAGATTCCAAGAAAGAGTTTCTCCCTTTTAGACATGGAATCTCTTTGTCGAAAGATCAGTCCCCAAAAACGACTGATGAGATAGAAAAGATGAAGGCGGTCCTTTATGCTTCTGCTGTAGGGAGTCTTATGTATGCTATGCTATGTACTAGACCTGACATCTACTTTGTTGTTGGCATCATTAGTAGATTTCAGTCTAACCCTGGTCGAGAACACTAGACTGTTGTTAAGCATATAATCAAGTACTTGAAGAGGACTAGGGATTATATGTTGGTGTATTACTCATGTGATCTTGCACCCACTGGCTATACTGATTCAGATTTCCAGTCAGATAGAGACTCTAGAAAATCTACCTTAGGAGGTGGAGCCATAAGTTGGAGGAGCATCAAGCAATCATGTGTTGTTGATTCCACCATGGAAGCCGAATATGTGGCTGCATCTGAGGCAGCCAAAGAGGCTGTTTGGCTCAGGAACTTTCTGAAAGAGCTTAATGTGGTTCCTTCAGTTCAAGCACCAATTGTACTTTATTGTGACAATAGTGGTGCAGTTGCAAACTCGAAGGAACCAAGAAGCCATAAAAGGAGTAAGCATATTGAGCGTAAATATCACTTAATTTGGGACATAACTTAGAGAGGTGATGCAAGAGTATTGAAGATTGCGTCAGAGGACAATTTGGCATACCCGTTTACAAAGAGCTTGGCACAGAAGATTTTTGACAAGCATGTAGAAGGAATGAGTGTTAGAGTAGTAGACACATGGTTATGAGTCTTAAGTGTGAGATTGTTGGGATATACTATTAACCATGTGGTTAAAACATAATATTATATTTTATTCTTTATGGAACAATTATTTATTTAATATTCAATTCAATAAAGTACTATTTTAAATAGATCATTTATTACATGTGTGTCCTTTTAGTTATGTTAGATGATTTAGTGTATGAAGTCTTAGCTCATGCACAGAAGATTAAATTGTTGGTTCTCATAATTAATAAACTATGTTCACAATCAAAGATATTGTTGGACAAAACATCTTGATGATCGTAGCACAAGATTATAATATAATTTGTCTTGATTATGGGAGTAGTTTTACTCCAACTTCCTGTGCTAGTATACTCAGTGTATATTGAACGGACCAAGTAGAGAAAATATGTTTTTGTACTGAATATATAAAATATTTTCTCTAATTCATTAAATGAGCTTATACTCCTAATCTTGATATAATTATTATAATCAATGTAATTTGTTTATTATTTTGATTTATCAAAAGGTACGACTCTATTTAGAGTTAGTGTATTCCTAATAGATTGGACAATAACGAATAACATTTGTGAATAATAATTAGTTGATAGAATCCATGACTCGGTTTTGAGTTTGATGATACCCCTTTATGTAAGCTTATAAATTTTCATGTGAAAATCCGGCCGGTGGATTTTGTATCCGTCACATGAAATAGTTTAAGCGGAATTGTAAATGATTTAATAGTTGATTAAATTTTCAGTGATTTAATTTAATTAACTGGTATTTGAGATCTTAACATGGGGAGTTAAAATAAGTGTTATTGAATTTTCGAAATTCATATTGAGGAGTTCAATTGTAGTTTTTGGTGGAATAAATTGCAATTAATTATAGTAAGAATTAATTCATGTTAATTTAGAATTCATGCTATAATTGGTAGTCTCTTATTATTTCTGTGGTTCCTGCTATACCTAGTAAAAACCTAGACAAGACTTGGGTAAAAAGTGACTTGGGAGAAAAGTCATCTAATAGAGTTGGAGTAGGATTCTACATGTAGAAGGAGAATCCTACACGTTTTTGGAGCACAATTTCAGCCAAAAATAACTCTATTAAAGCAAGACTAATTTCACCCAATAATTTACTTTTTAGAGTTATATTGTTCTTGCCCACCCAAAAGCAAAAATCGTCCAAGGTTTTACTAGGTAAATAACAAAAGACTGCAGCCCTAAATTCCTGTTGTTTAGAAGATTTATGCAACTATTTCAAGAGGTTAGTACTTCTAATCTCGTTATTATTATGTTGTCTAGTTTACATGTATTTGATGCCTGATTTGTATGCTTGCTTCCGCTGCGCATTTTCTAACATTTTGAACATACTTTGCCTTCCTTTTCAAAATTTTGAGCTAGCCTATTTGTTGGATGATTAATTCCTCTCATAATTGAGTTAGAGTATATTCTTGTTGTTTAGACCCGTGAGTAATACATTTGGTCATTACAGTCACCTCTAAGATTCTTCACACTAGGATAGTATCAAGATCCTTGTGCACTTTAGCTCTCTTGGAGTTTTATTATCTGTGTTAATTAGTTCTTCAAAAAGCAAGTGGTCTAACTCGCCAAAATTGACTTTCCAAAATCCAAATTGATAGTGTATACAAATTAGAAAATGCCAAAACGAAATCCAAAACGTAATCCACAGAATTGTTAATAGCTTGTTCAACTTAGCTAGCAGAAAAGACAGTAATGCAATTGTTTTCACTTGCATGTGAGTTCTCTAGTTAGTAGGCACCCGACTTCAGAAGGTTTAATATAGTAGTTGAGAAGTCATAATTTGAATCATAGACATAGTGACTAATTTTTTATCCGGATTAGCTTGTGCGCACCTCAATTAATTCTATAAAATACCTATTACTTTCCATTAACACAAGTACCGGAGCACGTTGTCCATCAAGACTTGAACAAAAGGGGGAAAAAAATACCCAT